ACAGTATGCATAAAAAGCCAACGTCAGTGCGAAGGTTGAGATAGCTTCTTTGTCACCAGATCAGCATATCTGCACATGGGCAGACATGTTTGGAGATGGGTAGAGGATCGGTGTCTCAGTTCCTAAGACCGTCAGAAATATGTGTTTTCCAATGGTCCTAGAGGACCCCCGTGAAAGGGTCATTCAATTCCTCAAGGGGTCTCGACCCACAGGTTAAGAACCTCTGGTTTAGAGGCTGTTGTTTGAGGAGGGCTAAGTCATGGCAGCTGGTCACTCACCTTCTTCACTGTATGGACTTACTGGCCCAGAACAGCACTTTGCTTCTTCATTTCTCTATATTTTGAAGTTGTAAATTAGGTATGTGTTTACGTTTCAGAACGTCAGATTGGCTGTGCGTAGTTTTTCCTTCACATTCGCTGGCTCTACCCTATGGCTTTGTCCGTACTGGGGGCCACACTGGTTTTGATGTGGTCTCTGTTTTCACTCCAGTGCCTCATGATGAGACCACTTGTCAGCCACAGATTGAAACCTCGTTGGTCTCCTTTGCTCTCCATCCTGATGACATCATGATCACTCATTTACTATGACCCTGGGAGGGCCACTGCCCTGGTGGATGGGAGGGAAGGGGAAGTCATCAACAGCAACAAATCAAGTCCCCATGCCCCACCCCCCTGCTGTCTCTAAAGGGGGAGAATTACCCGGCCTTATTCCAAAGGTTGTTTAAACGACCAATTAATCTTAAAGATCATATGTAAGCATAAATCCAGAGAATAATCAAGAAAAATGTGAAATTAAAGAATAGTAGGAAGGAGTCTTGTTTTACTAGATATCAGAACACACCATACAACTTCCATGGCAAAATAATTTTATCACTGGAATTGGTACACAGATAAATATATCAGTTGCTATTGAATACAGAATCTGTAAGCGGTTATCAGCTATATGTGAGAAGTTAATAAATGACAAAGACAATGCATTAATTCATTGGAATATTTAATCATTGCCTTGGAATGATTGGCAACTCCCTAACCCAAACCCATGGTTGTCAAGTCAATTCTGTCCCATAATGACCCCATACAGGTGTCACAGAGCGCACGGGAGCTTCTGTCGAAAGTAAGGCAAAGGTTTAGTGAAGGAACAAGATAATTGATGATTATGAAGAGTCGTCACAGTTCTACCGGGAAAGGAGATTTACACAGAGCTTAAATACAGAGGATCCAGGAACTAACAAGAAACAATGTTGATGGGTTCGTATTTACAAGACTATGTCAACCCAGGACAATGGTGAGACTCTTTAAACATGATTTTACTAATCATAAAATTTGTGTTGTCTAGTGAAACAAATCCAATGACACTTGTATCTGTCTAAGAACACAGATAAGAGCTAGAAACACAGGGAATCCAGAACAGGAGGGTAAGGGGTGGGGGGCAGAGGAAAGGGGAACAGATCACAATGATCAACATATGGCCCCTATCCCAGGGAGATGGACAGCAGAAAAGTGGGTGAGATTAGACAGCAGTCGATGTAAGACATGAAAAAAAAAGAAGAATTTA